GAGAGGCTGAGTCAGGCGGATCACTTGAGCTCAGGTCCAGTGAGTGAGCCGAGATCACACCACTGCACTCCAGCCTGGATGACAAAGCGAGACCCGGATCTCATTCAAGGGCAAGTTTAATTATGTCACTCTTCTCCTTAAAACTTCTCAAAAAACAAAAACAAAAACAAAACAAAACAAAACAAAAAACCAGGAAAGTCATGACCTTACTTTAAAAACATGCCCTAGCTAAACTCTCACACTAATTATTATGTTTATTTGGGAGAAACTTTAGAATTATGATTTAAATACCCATTAAAACAATTCTATTTATGTCTTCAATCATTGGAAGTATCCAGTGGGGTGGGTAACCCCGTTTTACTACCAGTGGAATAATGCAGAGAAATGTTAACAGTTGTGTACTGCTATTGATATGAACACTGCAAAAGTCACATGTAAATTCTATACTTTTTGTATGCAGCATCAGGTTTAAATTCTTCAATATTCTCACATCACTTTATTCTATTTTGTAATAATATTTATTCTGTTATGGACCACACAGAGTCACAAGTCCTACTGAGGAACAGGTCAACTCAAATTACCTCATTTATTCTGTAGAAGCACTGAAATAAAGTAGACAACTAGAAGCAACTCATAGCTTGTACAGTTCACTGTGATTATTTTTCTTTTTTCTTTTTTCTTTTTTTGAGACGGAGTCTTGCTCTGTCGCCCGGGCTGGAGTGCAGTAGCTGGATCTCAGCTCACTGCAAGCTCCGCCTCCCAGGTTTACGCCATTCTCCTGCCTCAGCCTCCCGTGTAGCTGGGACTACAGGCGCCCGCCACTTCGCCCAGCTAGTTTTTTGTATTTTTTAGTAGAGACGGGGTTTCACCGGGTTAGCCAGGATGGTCTCGATCTCCTGACCTCGTGATCTGCCTGTCTCGGCCTTCCAAAGTGCTGGGATTACAGGCTTGAGCCACCGCGCCCGGCCCCACTGTGATTATTTTTCATTTTTTAGTTTTTTGAGATGGAGTTTCACTCTGTCGCCCAGGCCGGAGTGCGAGTGCAGCAGCACAATCTCGGTTCACTGCATCCTCCACCTCCCAGGTTCAAGCAATTCTCCTGCCTCAGCCTCCTAAGTAGCTGGAATTACAAGCATGTGCCAGCATGCCTGGATACTTTTTTTCATTTTTAGTAGAGACGGGGTTTCACCATGTTGGCCATGGTGGTCTTGAACTCCTGACCTTAAGTTATCCACCCGCCTCGGCCTCCCAAAGTGCTGGGATTACAGGTGTGAGCCACTGTGCCTGGCCCTATTAGTATTATTTTACTATTGCAGGCTTATTATTCATATTGTAAAATCCTGACTTTCTAATTATTTCATTAGAATGAACGTGCATATCAGATACAGGGGGAATTACCTATCAGATATGTTCCTATTGGTGGTCAAGATTAACTCCCTCTCCTACCTTATTTTGTGTGTGTGTGTGTGTGGTGGTGGGGGTACAGTGGTGCAATCTCAGCTTACTGCACCCTCGGCCTCACAGGTTGAAGCAATTCTCCTGCCTTAGGCACTTGAGTAGCTGGAATTACAGGTGCCCACCACCATGCCCGGCTAATTTTTGTATTTTCAGTAGAGACAGAGTTTCACCGTGTTAGCCAGGCTGGTCTCAAACTCCTGACCTCAAGTGATCCACCTGCCTTGGCCTCCCAAAGTACTGGGATTACAGATGTAAGCCACCACACCAGGCCTCTGTTAGCTTTCTTGTCTGTATCTAATCTCTAGGACCATCATATCATCATCCATAGCTATAATTACCACTTAGACCATTTCTTAAGTTCCAGATTCCCATTATTATTGACCTGACATTCCCATGTAGATTTCCCTTAGGAATTTCAATACCAATATATCCAAAGTGAATTACTGATCCCCCACTCTACAAACCTGGTCCTATTTCCAGTGTGCCTGATGATAAAGATGAAACCCCTCCTTATAATTTAAGTCACCACTATCCCCTCCATGGATTGTGCTCATGGATAGTTGGCTCCTCTTGCTAAATCTACTCTTGGTTACATTTAGTCTATTGTTCAAACAGCATCTAGAGGGATCTCATTCAAGGGCAAGTTTAATTATGTCACTCTTCTCCTTAAAACTCTTTGATTCTGGCTGGGCGTGGGCCAGGCACAGTGGCTCACATCTATAATCCCAGCACTTTGGGAGGCGGAGGAGGGCAGATCATCTGAGGTCGGGAGTTCAAGACCAGCCTGGCCAATATGATGAAACCCCATCTCTACTAAAAAGAAAAAATACACATCCTGGCTAACACGGTGAAACCCCGTCTCTACTGAAAATACAAAAAAATTGGCCGGGCGTGGTGGTGGGCGCCTGTAGTCCTAGCTACTTGGGAGGCTGAGGCAGGAGAATGGTGTGAACCTGGGAGGTGGAGCTCGCAGTGAGCCGAGATTGCGCCACTGCACTCCAGCCTGGGCAACAGAGCAAGACTCCGTCTCAAAACAAACAAACAAACAAACAAACAAGGCCAGGCCAGGCGCGGTGACTCACGCCTATAATCCTGGCACTTTGGGAGGCCAAGATGGGTGGATCACGAGGTCAGGAGATTGAGACCATCCTGGTGAAACACCGTCTCTACTAAATATACAAAAAATTAGCTGGGTGTGGTGTTGGGCACTTGTAATCCCAGCTACTCAGAAGGCTGGGGCAGGTTAATCGCTTGAACCCGGGAGGTGGAGGTTGCAGTAAGCTGAGATCAAGCCATTGCATGCCAGCCTGGGCAATAAGAGTGAAACTTTAAACAACAAAATAGCTTTATAAAATAGCCTAGGTATTAATTGGGCACCTGGCAAGGAGTAGGGACTGTCACTGATCTTGGGCCAAATATTTTTCCTTAAACAGCCAGAGAGGGCCGATTTTATCTTAATTTCTAAAAAGCTGCCTGACCACTGTGTCTCATGCCTGTAATCCCAGCACTTTGAGAGGCTGAGTCAGGCGGATCACTTGAGCTCAGGTCCAGTGAGTGAGCCGAGATCACACCACTGCACTCCAGCCTGGACGACAAAGCGAGACCCAGATTCAAAAAATAAAAATAAAAAAATAAAATAAAATAAAACTACATGGATAGTTTGCTGCTTTAGCCTTCATCTTCAAAATCGTCCCATCCGTTCTTAAAATGAGCTATTCATTTGTAAACTGCAGATTTCTTTATGACATTGCCCATAAGCTTTTTAGAAGGCATCAACGATTTTATCATTCTTCCACCCAAGCTTCACCAGAAATTCGATGTTTGTTCTTGCTTCAATTTTAGCACAATTCATGTCGCTCTGATAGAGGCAGTTTATAAACTGACATGTTATCCTTCTTAGTGCTTCAAATAAGACTCCATTCAGGCATGTTACAAGTCAGTATGAGTTTATTTTGGTAAAAAAATATTATGAAATCCATGCATAGTTTATTCATAATATGCATTTTCCTTGAATGTTTTGAAGATCCTTTATATTTATAAACTAACAGATACTTCTTTCCCCCCACAAATATGACTTTTTTTTGCCACTATTATAAGTCTGAACTTTAAACAGATTCTTGGACTGGTGGTTCATATCCATCAGCTCGTTCTACTTTAGCACCTGTTTCATCCTCAGCGGCTTTTCCAGAGCTACTACCTTCACAATAAGCTCCATGAGTTTCCCCAATTTAAAGCTAGGCTTCTTCAGCACTTTAACCTTTCTAACAAAGACATCATGGAGAGGAAAGATTGGCAAGAATTTTTTCTATGTCTTTTCCAGTCCTCAATTTATTGACCACTTCTTTCAAGTAATTTGTCTGCACCTCTTGGGTCATGATTTCCATCATCTTGTTCTGGATTTGGCTGAACCGTTGGTGCTAAGCATAAGAGGTCTTCCGTATCCGATTGTTGCATTTTTTAGTAAAACCAACACAGAACACATGAAGCAAGTAAGCACCAGTCGTCTTGATATTGACATGAGCTTCAATCATTGTCTGCCATTTCTTGACCATGGAACACATTTTGTCATGGGTAAGATCCATGCCAGGGACGCTAATCAGGCAATTATTGCCCTGAACATCTTCAGTAATCAGCTTGAATTTTCTAAATGCAACTTTATCATTCTGCAAATCAGCAAGACTCACTTCAAACACATGACCCTTGAGGCCATCAGATTCAATTATGGTTCCTTGGGTCCTGGTGACTTGTGTCTTCCCAATATTTCTTATATTGAACACGGCAGATGCTTTCACATTATACCAATCTTTCTGAGAAAATGGATCAAGCACTTTCTTCTTGGCTCCCTTTGTGCCACCTTTCATAAGGGGCTTATTCTTGCCAACAACCATGGTGCTGCTCAGAGAGCCAAAAAGAGACAGATACTTTTATCATATAATATTTAGAAAGAAAACCTAGCTGGTTGGCTCAAGACAACCTCCCACCTCAGCCTCCTTAGTAGCTGGGACTACAGATCTCACCTGAGATCCAGAGTTCAAGACTAGCCTGGCCAACATGGTGAAACCTCATCTCTACCAAAAATACTAAATTTGCTGGGCATGATGGTGGTGCATGCCTGTAATCTCAGCTATTTGGGAGACTGAGGCAGGAGAACTGCTTGAACCTAGGACGTGGAGGTTGCAGTGAGCCGAGATCATGCCTTTGCACTCCAGTCTGGGCAACAAGAGTGAAACTCTGTCTCAAAATAAATAAATAAATAAATAAATAAATAAATAAAAATAAAAAAATCTGATAAAAAATGCATCATAGAGACTCTTAGAGTAACTACAATGATATTAACCTTTTAAATATTTTAATGTTACTGTTGTTACATGTAAGAAAGGAAGTATTGTTTTCAGATAGGTCTAATTATTTCCTTATGTCTACGTATGTGTATAGTGGCTTGTAATATAAAATGTTTTTTTTACTCTTGGTCACTACTCAAAGATTAAAAGATATCAGTCTTATAGTTAATCAATATATAAATCCTCACTACACAAACAAAGCATAACACATTAGAATACTTAGTTCCTATTGGTGCCCCACCCCCTCCCACTGCCTACCCACCCACAAGCTGATAAAGGCTTATGGAGTTATAGGTTATTTTTATTTAAAATATATAAGTATTGAACTTATTTAACTTAACACCAAGTTTGACTAATTTCTTTGCTCACCATGGCCTCGTGTCCCGGACTGATTCGTTCCGGTTTCATATATCTTCTTTCTGGATTACGTCCTTTAGTAATTCTTTCATAGTAGGTCTGTGGGTAGTAAACTTTCTGAGTCTTTGAAATTTTGGCAAATGGGTTTTTCCTATTTTGGTTGAGTATAAAATTCTAGGTTCTTTTAATGATGATTTTGCTGGGGTGGGGTAGTAGAGCAGGAGGAGGAAGCCAGGGACAATTGGAATTTGGGGTGATAGCTAAAGTCTTTACCTAATTTGTTTAGAGTCTTAATTAATTTATTTACTTATATAATAGAAATATAATTTTACTATTTGATTACTACTTTTCAATATTTAGTTGTTATAGTGTTTCAGAAAATGTTAAAGGAATGCACTTAAATATTCAATGTGTAATTCAAAAATAAATTATTTGAATAAAAAAGAACACTTACATGTAAGGGAGAGCTTGGATCAATTCTAAATCTCCTGGGGCTTGGGCTTCTACCAAACTTACAACCATTAAAGTACATACTCCATGAACAGCCAAAAGAGAATGAAGCTCCACAAGTCTCTGGATCAATTCCTTGACATGTACAGGTACGACTGTAAGATTGGAATTACAAGAGAGTGAACTGATGAAGCATTACAACACCTCAGACACAACATTTCAGGTTTATATAGTTTTAGAAGGTTGGATGGCTAAAGACCCGGTTATAACACTTATCTATTATATTACTTATTTAAAGTAGTTTAATGTTAACAATAAAAAGCTAACTTTTGTTTTTTCAAGAAATCTGACTAGGGGACCAGGGCTAACTATACTTTATTATAACCAAATTTTTAGCAAAAATATTGGTCATGATTGCAATTCCAAATAAATGGGAATAAACTATACAGATCTAAAATATCCACAATATTGTTTGATTTGGAGATGTCTGAGATAGGGAAATAAAGAACCTGGGTTTTTCTTTTTTTTGTTTTTTGTTTTTTTTGTTTCTTTTTTTTTTGAGATGGGGTCTAGCCCTGTCACCAAGGGTGGATTGCAATGGCACAATCTTGGCTCACTGCAACCTCCGCTGCCCAAGTTCAATCGCTTCTGCTGCTTCAGATCCCTGAGCAGCTGGGATTACAGGTGTGCGCCACCATGCCCAGCTAATTTTTGTATTTTTAGTAGAGACGGGTTTCACCAGGTTGGCCAGGCTGGTCTCAAACTCCTGACCCCAAGTTATCTACCCTCCCGAAGTGCTGGGATTACAGGTGTGAGGCACTGAGCCTGGAAAGAACCTGGTTTTTAAATCTGGGTTTTAAATCCTGGATTTGTTCCATATCACAAATGAAAATTAGAATAGGAATTCAGCTGCTTTATATCTAAAATGAGACTGATATAATTTTCTGAGGATTGAAAAACAATATATATTTTATATAAAAGCAGTTTCTTGGCAAGGTGTGGTGGCTCACGACTGTAATCCCAACACCTTGGGAGGGATCATGAGGTCAGAAGTTCAAGACCACCCTGACCAACATGGTGAAACTCCATCTCTACTAAAAGTACAAAAAATAGCCTGGCGTAGTGGCAGGAGAATTGCTTGATCCCAGGAGGCTGAGGTTACAGTGAGCCGAGATCGTGCCACGGCACTCCAGCCTGGGTGACAGAGCAAGACTCCATCTCAAAAAACAAAAACAAAAACAAAACAGTTTTTCAATTTTAAAAACTTTAAAAAGTGCATAATAGAAAAAAATGGAGCAGAAAACCAGTTTCATTTAATTAAATCTTCAGCGTATAACTTTTAGGGCATTTCTAAAGCCTTAAACTAAACTATATGGTAAGAATGACAATGAAATTGGCATATATTCTTCTTGCAGTTATAAAACTGTATGCTCTTCCAATCCCATTGCTGGGTGTATACCCAAAGGAATATAAATCATTCTACCATAAAGACATATGCATATGAATGTTCACTGCAGTGCTATACACAATACAAAAGACATGTAATCAACCTAAATGCCCATCAATGACAGACTAGATAAAGAAAATGTGGTACACATACACCACAGAATAGTATGGAGCCATAGAAAAGAACATACTCGTGTCTTTTGTGGGAACATGAATAAAGCTAAAGGTCACTATCCTTAGCAAACTAACACAGGAACAAAAAGAAATACTGTATGTTCTCACTTATAAGTAGGAGTTAAGTATGAGAATTCAAGGACAACAGACACTGGGGCCTACCTGAGGATGAAGGGTGGGAAGAAAGAGGATCAGAAAAAATAACCATTGGATACTAGCTTAGTAGTTGACTGGTGAAATAATCTGTACAACAAACCCCTGTGACATGAATGTAGCTAAATAAACAACCTGCAAACGCACTCTTGAACCTAAAATGAAAGTTAAAAAAGGATTGCACGCTTTTAAATTCCATCAGAAAGAAAGGACAAAAATAACATTAAAAGAATAATTAAGTAAAAAATAAAATAAAATTGCATAATGCTTACAACTTAGTATACATTGTACTTATGTAATGATTAAAATATACAAACAATAAAGAACCAAATATTATTTTTAAAAAGTGAAAATAGCCGGGTGCGGTGGCTCAAGCCTGTAATCTCAGCACTTTGGGAGGCCGAGACAGGCGGATCACGAGGTCAGGAGATCGAGACCATCCTGGCTAACATGGTGAAACCCCGTCTCTACTAAAAAAAATACAAAAACAAAACAAAACAAAACTAGCCGGGCGAGGTGGCGGGCGCTTGTAGTCCCAGCTACTCGGGAGGCTGAGGCAGGAGAATGGCGTAAACCCGGGAGGCGGAGCTTGCAGTGAGCTGAGATCCGGCCACTGCACTCCAGCCTGGGCAACAGAGCGAGACTCTGCCTCAAAAAAAAAAAAAGAAAAAAAAGAAAGACTACAATGAAATTCACTAAATGAGGTGCAAATGGAATGGTTAAAAAATTTTGAATAGAATAAAATTAAAGTTGTCAACCAAATAGAAAGATATTTATTCATATCATTGAAAAAGACATGGGAGGAGAGAAAAATGTTTACTAGGTACTACTATTTTAAAAATAAAACACAGGAAATATGATAAGTTGTGAGATCTAAAAGAGCATCCTCAGATTATTTTAAATGGTCAACAACACCAATAGTGGGACAAATTGCACTCAGTGTAATAGTCCAGGTTACATTTCATTTTTAAAATTTTTTTTTTTTCGTTTCAGCCATCTTTGGCTATAGGTTGTATTTCATAGCCTGACTTGAGTCAAGAAGAAACAGATAAACCAAATTGATTAACAGTCTACAGAATTAGCCTTTTTGCTTCAAAAATTTCAATGTCATGAAAGACAAAAACTGAGAAAACAAAAAGGATTAAGGGAGCAAAAGGACAAAATAACTAAATGCATTGAATCATGGACAGGGGAAAATTATTGGGAAATGGATGATACTTGAATATGAACTAAGATGAGATCACAGTATTTTATCAAATTTAAATTTCCTGAATTTGATCATTATATAGGAATATACAAGAGAACTATATCCTCATTTTTAGGATAAATACATTCAAGTATTATTTAGGGGAAAAGACAAAGTCTACATCTAGCTCTCAAATGATTAAGAAAGAAATAAGTCAACAACAGTAACGTGTTTATATGTGTACATAAACAAATGTAACATAATGTTAACAGTTGTGGAATGTAAGTAAGTGTATATAAGAGTTCACCGGGCCAGGTGCAGTGGCTCACGCCTGTAATCCCAGCACTTTCGGAGGCTGAGGTGGGTGGATAATGAGGTCAAGAGTTCGAGACCAGCCTGGCCAGCATAGTGAAACCCCATCTCTACTAAAAATACAAAAATACAAAAATAAATAAATAAATAAACTAATTAATTAATTAAATAAAATAAAAAATTAGCCGGACATGGTAGCTGGCGCCTGTAATCCCAGGTACTTGGGAGGCTGAGGCAGGAAAATTGCTTGAATCCAGGAGGCGGAGGTTGCAGTGAGCCAGGATTGTACCACTGCACTCCAGTCCGGGCTACAATGTGAGAATCTGACTCAAAAAAAAAAAGAGTTCACTGGGCTGGACGCAGTGGCTAGCACCTGTAATCCCACCACTTTGGGAGCCTGAGTCGGGCGAATCACAAGGTCAGGAGATCAAGACCATCCTGGCTAACATGGTGAAATCCCGTGTCTACTAAAAATACAAAAATTAGCCAGGCATGGTGGCGGGCACTTGTAGTCCCAGTTATACTTGGGAGGCTGAGATAGGAGAATGGCATGAACCTGGGAGGCAGAGCTTGCAGTGAGCCGAGATTGCATCACTGCAACTGAACCTGGACGACAGAGTGAGACTCCATCTCAAAAAAAAGATTTCACTGGAGTATTCTTACATCTTTCTGTATTTGTGAACTGTTTTTTTGGGGGGGTGGGTTGGGGGAAGACTTAGCCGTGCTCTTTCAAGTGCACTGGCAAAATCATAGCTTACTTTAATGGCAAACTCCTGGCCTCAAGCCATCCTCCCTCCTCAGCTTTCAAAGTAGCCAGGAACACAGGCACACACCCCTATGCCTGGTTTTAAAAATGCTGTGTAGGGATAGGTTCTCAACTCCTGGTTTTAAAAAATCCTCCTGCTTTGATCAGGCATGAGCCACTACATCAGGCCCATGAAGTTCAATCTCTCTCTTTCATTTTTTTTTTTTTTTTTTTTGAGATGGGGTCTAGCCCTGTCACCAAGGGTGGATTGCAATGGCACAATCTTGGCTCACTGCAACCTCCGCCGCCCAAGTTCAATCGCTTCTGCTGCTTCAGATCCCTGAGCAGCTGGGATTACAGGTGTGCGCCACCATGCCCAGCTAATTTTTGTATTTTTAGTAGAGACGGGTTTCACCAGGTTGGCCAGGCTGGTCTCAAACTCCTGACCCCAAGTTATCTACCCTCCCGAAGTGCTGGGATTACAGGTGTGAGGCACTGAGCCTGGAAAGAACCTGGTTTTTAAATCTGGGTTTTAAATCCTGGATTTGTTCCATATCACAAATGAAAATTAGAATAGGAATTCAGCTGCTTTATATCTAAAATGAGACTGATATAATTTTCTGAGGATTGAAAAACAATATATATTTTATATAAAAGCAGTTTCTTGGCAAGGTGTGGTGGCTCACGACTGTAATCCCAACACCTTGGGAGGGATCATGAGGTCAGAAGTTCAAGACCACCCTGACCAACATGGTGAAACTCCATCTCTACTAAAAGTACAAAAAATAGCCTGGCGTAGTGGCAGGAGAATTGCTTGATCCCAGGAGGCTGAGGTTACAGTGAGCCGAGATCGTGCCACGGCACTCCAGCCTGGGTGACAGAGCAAGACTCCATCTCAAAAAACAAAAACAAAAACAAAACAGTTTTTCAATTTTAAAAACTTTAAAAAGTGCATAATAGAAAAAAATGGAGCAGAAAACCAGTTTCATTTAATTAAATCTTCAGCGTATAACTTTTAGGGCATTTCTAAAGCCTTAAACTAAACTATATGGTAAGAATGACAATGAAATTGGCATATATTCTTCTTGCAGTTATAAAACTGTATGCTCTTCCAATCCCATTGCTGGGTGTATACCCAAAGGAATATAAATCATTCTACCATAAAGACATATGCATATGAATGTTCACTGCAGTGCTATACACAATACAAAAGACATGTAATCAACCTAAATGCCCATCAATGACAGACTAGATAAAGAAAATGTGGTACACATACACCACAGAATAGTATGGAGCCATAGAAAAGAACATACTCGTGTCTTTTGTGGGAACATGAATAAAGCTAAAGGTCACTATCCTTAGCAAACTAACACAGGAACAAAAAGAAATACTGTATGTTCTCACTTATAAGTAGGAGTTAAGTATGAGAATTCAAGGACAACAGACACTGGGGCCTACCTGAGGATGAAGGGTGGGAAGAAAGAGGATCAGAAAAAATAACCATTGGATACTAGCTTAGTAGTTGACTGGTGAAATAATCTGTACAACAAACCCCTGTGACATGAATGTAGCTAAATAAACAACCTGCAAACGCACTCTTGAACCTAAAATGAAAGTTAAAAAAGGATTGCACGCTTTTAAATTCCATCAGAAAGAAAGGACAAAAATAACATTAAAAGAATAATTAAGTAAAAAATAAAATAAAATTGCATAATGCTTACAACTTAGTATACATTGTACTTATGTAATGATTAAAATATACAAACAATAAAGAACCAAATATTATTTTTAAAAAGTGAAAATAGCCGGGTGCGGTGGCTCAAGCCTGTAATCTCAGCACTTTGGGAGGCCGAGACAGGCGGATCACGAGGTCAGGAGATCGAGACCATCCTGGCTAACATGGTGAAACCCCGTCTCTACTAAAAAAAATACAAAAAACTAGCCGGGC